TGATCAGTTTGAGTTCAAGCTATGTTGAAACTATTCTGAAACTACGACAGAAGTCATTTACCTTTTATATGAAAAGAGAAATTAGTAATGAATGGTGTACATTGTCTAATAAAGTATAATTGATAGGACAAAAGTCTCCTGAGTTTTTTCTTTTTATTTTGTTGGTAGGAAAAATGATGGGGACATCAGAGCATGGAAAATATATCAGAGGCGTGGCCGTCGATCTACCGCCACAATCGAGTCGATGTATTTTTGAGTCATTTCATGTTTTTATTTTTATTTTATTATTTGTCTATTGCTATTTATGTTGTATTTGTTTTTTTTTTCCATTTTTACCCCTTAATGGAGGTCATATGTAAGCCATAAGGGCACTGTTGTCTTTTATTTTTGAGTCCCTATGTACGAGGCTATTTATAACCCTTATGTTTCTCTTTAAAAGTTAATAATTGAATGATAAAAAATTTTCCCCGTGTTTGAGTTCTTATGAGAGCTTGAGAGATTGGAGCGAGGCCCCTTTGAGAGGGAATTTAGATCACCCACCAACCTTCGAGACGGCTGGGTTTGTGGTTCTTCTTCTCTATCTATTTTCCCTTTCCCTTCATCACCTAGCCGCCGGCCACCTAACCCCACCTCACCACCCAAGCCGCCGACCTTCATAACCCCCACCACCCCTCCACCGAAACTACCGACAAACCCACCAAGCCGCCGACCCTACTCCACCTCCCCATCTTCCCTCCACAAATTCAACTCTCTCTTGAATACTTTCCATAAGAAACCACTCTTAAGTTAGGAAGGTTTAAATTCAAAATTCAAAATTATTTGAATTTGAATTTGATGCAGGACTAAAATGTTTTTAAATGTATACGATAAGAATTGCATGATTTCTTGAATAATAAAGTAAAATTAAAACTTTTAGCAATCAAAACGGCAATAGAAAATAAGAGAGGGGTGCCTACGTTTAGGCTAAGCCACTTGCCAAACACTTGGAATATTAAAACAAGTTAAAAGCTCAATAACATGCATAATAAATAGCTTCAACAAAGTCCTTAATATAACAATAAGTTAGCCACATAGAAGGCACGCTCAATTTCTATGTTTACTGAGTTCGGCAGAGATAGACGAACAAGACCTTCATGAATTAAATCAAATCACAAGAGAGAGTTAGACTATGAAAATACAAGAGGAAGATTGGAAGACCTTCGTCACGGCTCGGACATAATCCTCCACTGAACGGTACCAAGTTGCTCCTCTATAGCTTCGATGAGAGTATCTAGAATGCGCTCCACGTATTCCTCAACAGTGTTATCGATATTCGGGTGACGTCGAAGAAAGTCGAGTGAAGCATGTGCACGAAACCTTGCTCATCGTAGGCAAGGCCGTAGTCAAGATCGGGATCGACCATGCATTGATCTCGTTGCGTCGAAGTGTTGAAGGAGTTGCCCTTTTGCTGTCCTTGTTGTTTCCTCTTTGAAAGAGAGGCATTTCTCTCAAGAATCTAAGTAGGAGTAGGCAAGAGAGGTGGTCGGCCAAGAGGGAAGAGGTTTGGGGAAATTAGGTACAGATTTTGGGAAATAAAGTGGAGGGAAATTGTTTCCAATCAATTCTCTAATTATTCTCTAGATTGAGAATAACTAAAGAAGGGGAAGGATGATGAGGGGCGGCGACACTAGAGGGGAGAAAGTGATTTTAATTTAATTCCAAATAGAAGAGAATATCTTTGGAAAGAAATTAAATAAACATGGGCATGGGGGGAATTTCGGCTAAGGAGGGGTGAGGGAGTTTGAATTGTTTCCAAGAGAGGAGGTGGGCGTTTAGGAAACAATTCCTAACTTGAATCACAAGGGGGGCCGACGATTAAGTGGGAGGGAGGAGTTTAATGAGGCCTTTAATGCTTGCTTAAATTATTGAATTAAGTTTGGAAAGAAATATCTCATCCCATTTTAATTTATAATTTAAATAGGAAGGGATTTAGTAAGTTTCCTAAAATAGGAATTCATAAATTAGGTAACTATTTCAAATTCAAATTGATTTTAATTTAATCATAAATAAAGTTACCAAAATTATGAGACCTAATTTAAGAAAGGTGTGGTGGCACGTGGGGATGGGGAAGAAGCCAAGGGTGGCCAGTGGTGGGAGGGCTTGGCCATGAAGGGGGAATGGGGGTTGGGCGCCTAGGCGGCGAGTGGTGGTGGGGGTTTAGATGGCCGGTGTCTTAGGAGTCCGGGAGAACTCCTAGCCAGTGGCTAGGGGATGAGGGAAGGACGGTAACAAGATAACAAAGAAGAACTACGAACCCGGTTGTCTCCAAGGTTAGTGGATGATTCGATTTCCCTCTCCTAGGGATCTCTCTATCTCTCTAAGTACTCTCAAGATCTCTCAAGAACTCAAGCAATGACACAATTTTTTTTATCATTCAATCATTAAACTTTCAAATAGAAACATAGGGGGCTATACATAGCCTCGTACAAAAGGACTCAAAATAAGAAAGACGACAATGCCCTCAGGGCTTAGATACGACCTCTCTTAAGTAAGGGGTAAAAATGGAAAACATCTATAACATAATAAAAGACAAATAACATAATAATAAAAAGAAAGCAAATACATGAAATGACTAAAAAATACATCGACTCGATCGTGACCGTAGATTGACGGCCACGCCTCTGATATACTTTCCATGCTCTGATGTCCCCATCAGAATTCTTTCCTAATTTAAGAAAGCTATTTTAGGAAAGTTTTTTAACCCTTTCCTATTTGATTTTAACTTAATTTGGAATGAAATATTTCATTCCAAATCTCATTACCTAATTTAAGGAAGCATTAAAGCTTCCTTAATTACCCTCCCTAGCCCCCTTGCCGCTGGTCCCATTTAATAATTCCCTTGGGATTTATTTTCAAAACCCATTAAACCCCTCTTGGAAACATTTCCTATTTCCCTCCATCTCCTTGGCCGAAACTTCCTAAGCCCCCACCTCGTTATTTCTTTCCAAAATCGAAGTATTGAATTTTGGAATCAAATCCCCTAACCTCTTCTCTCTTGCTGCCGCCCATGCCCCCTCTCTCTCTTCCTTAATTATTTCCAAACCTAGAGATTAATTAGAGGATTGATTGAAACATTTTTCCCCCACCTTAATTCCCAATATTTGAACCTAAATTCCCCAAACCTCTTCCCCTTGGCCGGCCACTTCTCTTGCCTTCTTTTACTTGGAGTCTTGAGAGAAATCCCTTATTTCAAAGGGAAAACGACGAGGACAGCAAAGGGCCACCTCCTTTAATACTTTGAGGCAACAAGATCGATGCATGGCCGATCACGACGAGCAAGGTTTCGTGCACATCCTTCACTCAACTTTCTTCGACGTCAACCCGAATATCGACAACACCGTCGAGGAATACGTGGAGCGCATTCTAGACACCCTTGTTGAAGCCATAGAGGAGCAACTTGGTCTCGTTCAGTGGAGGATTACGTCCAAGCCGTGACGAAGGTCTTCCAATCTTCTTACTATTGTATTTTCATAGTCTAACTCTCTCTTGTGGTTTGATTTAAGTCATGAAGGTCTTGTTCGCCTATCTCTACCGAGCTTAGTAAACGTAGGAATTGAGCGTGCCTTCTATGTGGGTAACTTATTGTTAGATTAGGGATTTTGTTGAAAGCTATTTTACTTTGCATGTTATTGAGCTTCTAACTTGTTTTTGATATTCCAAGTGCTTGGCAAGTGGCTTTGCCTAAACCTAGGCACCACTCTTTTGTTTTCTTTTGTCGTTTTAATTGCTACTAGTTTTAATCTTTATTGTTCTAATCAAGAAATCGTGCAAATTCTTATCACATACGTTTAAAACATTTTAGTCCTGCATCAAAAAGTCTCTTGGACTTTCTGTTTTTGGTTTGTTGGGTCCATTTCAATTTTTACTCAATGCCAAGATTCCAAAACTCAAGCTAAAATGTAAAAGAAAAAAAATGTAGGGCTCATTTCTTAAAGCAACTTCTGTAATCTATGTCATACATGTTTAATAGATTATGTGAAACATGGTTAAGCATAGCATCTAAAATAGGGGATTGTTTGGTATACAATACACAGCATTTAATAGTTTGCTTTAAGAAAAAAATTAAAGGACAAGAAAGTATCCATGATGGTAACTTGGTTATCTATAGGGCAAAATTTGACACCATAAAATTTACATATTCTTTAATGATGATCCACAATATAGTCACTTTTGTAGGCAAAGGATGAAATAATTTCTTATGTACTTCTTTTTGCTTTAATCTCTTTGTACTGGTAATCTCAAAAGGACAGTTTGGAATTTAAATGAAACTGCATAGACAATTCAAAAAATCAATCAGTTAGCATCCCACTCTAGTTATCTAGTTTTTATAAATGGTAGATGCTTTGGTTTGCTTATGTATCAAAAGCTGTGTTATATGCTTTCTTCCCTTTTGAATATTAGTTGACCTTGAAATATAAATGCAAGGGATTAACGCACAAATTGTAGAATGAATAATATGAAATATTTATTTGTATCGTGTTTTGATTTTCACCTGCTTCTCTCTTAAATCCCATTTGACATTTTTGAACTAAAAATATTATTCGGGAATAGAAGATAGAATGATTCATAAATAGAATATCTAAGTTGTTTGTTATGACATGTTTTTCCACTTCAACTATTACTAACGATCTTGCTTGTGACAATAGATTGTTCAAGCGTTGACGCATACAAACATTGTTTTCTGAAGCCCCTTGAATGACTCAATGGCTGGCGAAATTTCATTTTTTTAATCCATATGAATGTTGTTTGATTAATAAAAGAAAGCCTCAAAAGTATGAAGCTAATCGATTAATCACTTTTGATTTGAATATCTGTTATGGCATGTTACATCATCCCCACTTCTACAATTCTTTTTGAGTTCCCTATATATATATATATATATATATATATATGTTCGTTTTTGTTCTTTTCCTTGCGGTAGTTTCTTTGCTATTTCCGTTTACTGTTTCAAAACTTTACAGGTTTTATCCATATCATTATGCTCCGTTTGCTTCAGATTTTACTGATTTGAAACATTTGAAGATGCATTTCAAGCTTGGCATCCCTTTCAGACCATTTGAGCAATTAATGGGTGTCTTACCTTCAGCAAGGTTAGAATTTTAATTATCTACTCAAAGAAGAAAAGTTATTTAAATACATTTGTTTAAGGTACGTTCTTTATCAGTTAAAATTTCAAACTTTATGGTTTCCTATGTTTTTATAACTGTTTCATATGGGTTCTTCGCTTTATTTGCTAATACATATGAATTTGGAAACATAATTGAAACCTATTTATAAAATCTTAATGTAGTAGACCTATTTATCAGATGGTCCAAACTCGAGGGACCTGGATACTATTTATTCTTTTCTTATATTCCACGGGAATCTACTAACTATCTTGTGTACATTTGCAGTGCACATGCATTGCCATTGTTTTATAGGAAATTGATGATAGATCCATCTTCATCCATTGCGGATTTTTATCCAACAGGTCATTATACATCCTTGACATTCTTTGCATAACTAAAATGGTCCACAGTGGAATGTCTAATTTACTGGTAAACTTTCCTTAAACAGATTTTGAGCTTGATTTGAATGGCAAGCGATTCTCCTGGCAGGTAGTTGCAGCTTCTTTAATTTTAATGAATCATGTGCAATCCTTCTTTAAAGATTCATTTATCAATTAGACATGTCACCATCTTTTTCTTACATTTTACATACTATAAGAACATCCTAGAAAAGTTATAACCTTATTAATGCGCATTAGGAGCTGATTTGCGCCAAGGTTTTACTTATTATTATTTTTTTAACTTCAGAATCTCCTAAATTTAGAGGTTACTTCGCTGTGAATTTTTGTTAAGTTTGCTCGAGTTTAATTGAACCCGACATGCCACATTGTGGATTCTATATGTTAGGCCTTTGATGTTTCGAAATAGGCAATATTTGTTCTAAACACTGAAAGTGAAAAAGAACATAAAATAGAAAAAGAAAGTCAACGCCAACAAAGAAAAACAATAATTTTATATAAGTTCACCTAATTGTTGGCTGCATCTTATTGTTGCCACTGTAGATTGCACTATGATTTGATTGTGGAGAAAATATAATCCTAATTTATCAAGCCCAATTATAAGATCTCTCCCTTCCCCTATAAAAAACCTAGGGTAGTTAAAATACAAAAAGATTTCCAAAGCATCATCGGTTTCATCATGGTCGACTCCCAATTAAATTTGCGGTCCACGTTGTCTCCAAAGGACAAAATGAGACACAACTTGGTGATCTCCCTCTTGAAAACTAATCAATCTTTACATCTCCACCATAACACAATGATTTCTCACCTCTAATGAATAAGTCCAAGCGAAGCAGCACACAAATTTAGTTTTATGATTGGAATAATCTTTGCCAACATATCTGCTAGATTCAACCTTCCAAAAATATTCTCAAACGGTAAAATATCATCTTCCAAAGCCAATCAAATGTAGTGTTGATGGGGATATCGACAGGAGATTCCGGTGCGTTTATCAGAGACGACACCGGAGATCGACGGCCATGATGGAGAGCCTTTACTATTGATGATTATTTGTATTTGCATTTTATGTATTACACATTTATTTTCAGTTTTTCCATTTTTACCCTTGTGGGTATTTGTTTGCTTTTGTAGCCTAAGGGGTATATTAGACTTTTGTACTTGTTGTCATGTGGAGCCTATTTATATGGCTCTTGTATCTTGTATGAGGATGATTATTATTGAATGAAAAATTTTACTCTTGTGTTCTCTTTGTGAGTTCCTTCGTGAAGATCTCTTGGTGAGTTCTTTGTTTGAGATCTCTTTGTGAGTTCTCTAGGTAATTACAAGCATAGTTCTTCTTCTCCTCCATAAACTACCACAAGCAAAGTCCAAGAGTTGGAAGAAGCTGAACCCCCCACTAGTGCCGCCACCCTTGGAGCCCAACCCGTCAGCCACTAGCTCCACCGACCGGCCACCTTGCCGTCGGCCACTCCCCTCTCCACCACTTCCCCCCACGCCTCTCTTCCCTAGCCTTCTTGGGAATTTGAATTTCAAAATTCAAATTCTTTCCAAATTTGAAAATTCTATTTATGGAAATTTTTGAATGAATTCAAATTTAACATTAAATTGATTTGGATTTATTTAAAATTTTCCTAGTCATCATTCATGTTTGGAAACCCCTCTCCCTCTTTCCTTAACTCCCTCTCTCTCTCTCTCTCTCCATACCGCCGGCCCCCTCTTTGGGCTCCACATTGATTTCCATCAATGCACCCCCTCTAATTTTTGAAATCTGAAATTGATTTCAATTAAACCTCCCTCCCATCCCAATTAAAACTGAAATCTATTTCAGTTTTCTACACATAGCTCTCTCCCCTCTTCCCTCCATGCCGCCGGCCCTTATTGGGCTCCCTCCCATTAATTCCCCTCATTAAGGAATTAATTGCAATCAAAGCTTGGAATTCAAATTTCAAAATTCTCCCTCCAAAACCTCTTAAATCTGAAGTTAATTTCAGATTTCTTTGAAAACTACCTAAATAATTTTTCTCACCTAGCCGCCCCCTCTCATCCCAAGCCCCAACCCCCAACCTCGGCCGACACCTTTCCCCCTCCACTTCAATGTTGCATGGAAGATCCCGAACTTGAATGGGGACTTGTATTCGACGCCTACGGTCATATCAACATCCTACGATCTCCATTCTTCGACGTGGGATTTGAGCACGACGACGCCATTGGAGATTACTTGGAGTGAATTCTCCCCGTCTTGGTGTCCGTCATCGACTGTCAATTTTCAGACTACACTTGGATCGTCAACAGCATCCCACCGTACCACCTCCATCTCCGAGTTCCTTCTCAACAACGACGTTCCTTGGCTCCTCCATCCTCGTGGCAACCTCATTTCTAGCGTGGACGCTCTTCCGCCGCTCAACCTAGTTTCGTAGGAAAGAGAGAGAAAGGCCTCAAGGTGAACAACTCCGTATTAATCTTTGAATTCAAGTTACTAGCTTTTAACTTTACGTTCTCCTTTGTATTTGCTTAAATCGTACGGTTAATTTCCTTGTAATGTCTTTGCCTAAGCAAGTGGAACACAAAGAATTTTTATAGCCAACTTTGAATTGATGCATGCTTTTATAAGAGGTTAAGCTACTAGTAAATTTTCTTTCAGAATCTTGTGTAACTCAACCGTGCATCACATCAAGTGTAATGAACTTAAATGTGCTTTGTTCTGGCTCGGTAAACTCGATTCTCTTCTAAATGAATAGCACTATGATTGTTATAATACAGCTTATTATTTGTATACTTTTGACCCAATTCTCTTATGAATGATTGCAACCAAACTACTCCTTGCTTACTTTGGTCAAAACAAACACTGCTTATATATTAGAAAGAGCAACTATCTTTTAAAGCTTTGAAACCCAATTGATATTCGTACTACCTATAAGGTGTAAACATACATAATAGTGTTTTTCCCATCGTCAATATCTCTAGCCATGTCAGCATTACCATGCCTGAATAGTTCCAAGTCAGACTTCCTGAAAAACAAAACTTAATCTACATTACCTCTGTTGCTTGAGAATCCTCTTCATGATCTTCTAATATTGTTTGCTTGGTTAACTCGTGTACCTACTTACAATTCCACTGCTAGGTATGTAAAATTGCTAATAGTTGAAGCATAAGGAGCGTTTTTCTTTTGGGCTTATGACCAACTCAATAAGTACTTATTGGTTTGACATCTTGCATGTTGAACCTGCTAAGCCCATACTTTAAATATTCATCTTGTGATAGCTTCAGAGCATCATTATTCATTGCAATTCTCATTCCAAGTATTTTCTTAATACCTAAACCTTTCATTGCAAATTCTTATCCAATGCCTTTTTCAACTTGTCAAAAATGTTTTTTTTTGTTTCAACTTCGATATATTCTCAATGGTTTCATATAGTAGCAATTAATTTGCATGGCACCTCAAAAAATATTGCTTTCCATGAAGCTACAAACTTCTTGTATCACTATTTTGGAGTCCTTTTGATATCATTATACATGTTTTTTTTTTTTTTAAGTTTGCATACAATTCTTTCATCCCCCATAACATGAATCATTGTAGTTGCATCATATGAATTTCTTCCTCCAAGTCACCTTGAAGAAAAGTTGTATTTACATCCAATTGCTCTAAGTAGGGGTGTACGTGAGTCGAGCCTACTCGAACTTGTCTCCTTAATGAGCTTCGAGCTCTAGCTTAAACTCGTGCTGGAGTTTGATGAGACTTGGCTTGTCGGATCGCGAGCTCAATATATTATTATTAATTTAAGTAATGTATAGCTAAAAATATATAAAAATGTGTTAAAAATGTAAAAAAATTTAAAAAGTAAATTTTCTTTTTAAAAGCAACTATAAAAGCTGCCAAAGACAAATTGTTTTTAATGAGTTGCCATCTACTTTTGAGCTTTTAAAAAATTATTATTGATTTTCTCAAGAAATCAATTGCTTTTAATGCTCTATTGTATGTTCTCCTAAAAGAAAGCATTTCCTTCTTCAACATTTCTTCTTCTCACCAATGTCCTCACTTTCAAGTTAGCCCGATGTAACTCTGGCGAGTGAATCGTTGCGACTTGCGAGTCAATCCTTCTCTCGGGCCTTCGCTCCGATGACCATGTGCCCTCACTTCCTTCTTCGGAGTCGAGCTCAAAGCTTTTGAAAGTCTGGCAAGCTGAGCTCGAGCTCACCATATGAGTTCGTGTTGACCTCTGCATCAGACTAAAGTACAAAAAAAAATACAAAGTACGTACCTGCCAAAATCACTCCCAAATCCACTTCAAATCTCCAGATATTCGGCCAAAATTCCTACAAATAGACGCCGAAACAGTCTCGTCTCGCAAATCCTGTAATTTAGTCGCCTCGATGCCACTGCACTCGATCAATAAAAGGGAGATAAGAACGAGCCTTTTTCTCTTCTTTCACATTCGCTACCTACTCGCAAGCCCTCCGACCTCTTCTCGATTCATCTCTTCCTCTCGCTCACTTCTTCCAAGCCGAACTCCATTCGCTGCTTGCGATTTCTCCAAGCCAAACTTCCGCACCTCTCGCGACGAACTTCCCTATCTTTATTTGCAAGCCATGATCTCGTTGCCACTTTTAAGCCTCTCGACTGAAGCCACCTACAACTTGTCTTCCTAACGTAGACGAACTTCCATCTACCTCATACCTTTCGACCCCCTGCTCTTGCGCAAGAGTAGCCTTCTATAACCCTCAATCCCGTCGACCAAGTCGCATATCTGACCTCCAATATGAAACCCCAATAGCCACTAGACCTTGTTCGAAGGTTCGACCCAAGCTCAAGACTTCGCAGACCACTCTAGCCTCCGCCCCTTCTTCCCTCTGTATCGATCTTCCCCTTAAACCGACGCTTCTTCATCTTCTCCACTACTCCATCAGATGCCTCCAGCATATAGAACCCGCCGGACCCAGCACCCGCTGACCTCTATGCCGCAATCCAGACCTCCGATTGACCTACAGGAACCTTCCCAACTCCTGCACTTAGAGCTCAAACTCTTGCCCTAGCCTCCTCTATCCTTCTCAACTAAAAAAACAAAAAAAAAAAAAAAAGAGGGAAAAAGATTT